TCCGAATTTATGTTTCTGTTAATTACTTATCATGACCTTAAATCTCCATCCCCAATGTGTTTGGTATCTGTGGTTGGTTTGGGGCATGACAACATTGAATATTGCTGTGCATGACCCAAACTTGATTCCCCTAGGGATCATAACCTCCATATTTTCTCTGTTTGTTGTGTGTTCTGGTTGGCTTATAGGCATGCCAGCACCTTCTATTGCTGTGCATGCCCAAAGCTGACCCTTGCCTAAGTACATAGGCTCCTTGCAATGAATTCCCAACCCCTGACCCCCCTTTGTATGAAGTTATCAATTTTGTGTTTTACTAATTACTGCTTCCCTAATCACCTTTTACCCCTCTCCTTATCCCCTCAGTTTTAAAACTCCATTTCTGCACTTCCACTATCTTCTTAGACTTAAGTTCTGCCCCTCTTGTGTGAGCCTTGCCTTGGGACCCATGAGCTCCCTCTGAACTTGGACACATAAGGGCTGGCCCTTCCACACTACACTCATCTCTATCTGGTTCTATGAACCTGGGTGTAAGCACTGCCCGGGGTTCCTTGAGACCTTTAGGGAACTCTGACACACCCATGTCCGAGAAAGGCTTTAAAATAAGTGGTATTCGAGGCGTTTTGTTCCATAACTCAGACAGGAAGTGAGAATCAGGCTTCCTATGGCTGTAATTTCCCTTTTTATGTATTTTCCTGATGTAATTCTGCAACTGGTATGTAATAATTTGTAATAAACATTTGGGGTTGGCTAGTGAAAAAGGGATGGGTAATTATGCATGCTCAAGGGTAGAAAACATGCCTATAGGACTGTTTTACATCCTGCGTGTTCAATTCTGCATTTTAGATACCATGCCTATAGGGGTTCATTTAAAATTCTGCATGTTTAACTTCACACCTAGATAACCTGCCTATAGGGCTTTGATTCTGCACGTTTGTTACCACTTAGATATCATGCTCTAGGATCTAAACAACTTTAAACTGGTGTCATGTTTATAATGTTTAAAATCAGTATAACGTATAGATATCATGTCTATAGGAATTAAAATCAACAACACTAGATATCATGTCTATAAGAGTTAAAAACCAGCAATAATGGATACCATCATCTGCAGAATCTGAGACTAGTCTAATTTAAAATCAGTCCTTTCTGAACCAGTTCTTAAGTAACTCAATCTCCCTATTTAACACGGTTTAGCAAGCATACCTATAGGATTTCAAACCGCTCATTTTTAAGTTTGTTACTGCTTTGCATATTCTGAATCAATAATAGATACCATGTTCATAGGATTCTGCCCCAAACACTTAGGCAAACCTTAGGTAATAACAATAAATAAAACTGAGCCCGTTTCTGATAATTAATCATTGCTACAACCAGCAGGCAGACCTGATTCAGACTTCTTATCTGAGTTATGTAATAAATTGGTCTGCTTCAACAACTCAAACTCCCTTTTGCCTTAATATTTTTAGACCTACTTGTTGTTTGAGTCATGCTATTTGATTGCTTTGTCTGAGGAGGTATATATGAGCCTTCGTTGTTTATGTGCTTCCCCTGTTATTTTGCTGCCCTATATGTTTTGTATGTAGCCTTAGATTTTTCACCTTTAAAACCCCAAGTCAGCCTAATATCCCTCCCTTTTAGGAATAGTAGTCTTAAGTGCCTCTGGGACTGATAGGAATGGGACGGGTAATAGCATGCAATAGTGGTCGAGACCAATCCGCGCTTTAGTACCTTAACGGGGTAGGAAGGGGAGATATAGATATGATGACCGGTGCGCTAATACCACATGTAGACCCTCTTTGAGGAGTGACTACCGGGTATTGCATTGATGTGATCCATATTATAAATAAACCTAGGACCCCCTTTCCCTTTCTTTTTTTGCTTTAAAGTATTATGACTTCTTTTCAAAAATCAACCTTTTAATAATTGCTCTTTCATACTTTGTTTACTTCCAAGCATTATGTATTAAAATTCCCTCTTATTTGAGCCTTATCTGCTTGCATGGTAATTACACCAAATTCACAAAGAATTGTCTGGCCGGGAACCATACTAGTGGATCCTGAGGGATGCCTAACACCTTCCCTTTGGGATAATTTCAAGCCCTTACCCTATCTCTGGTTATCAAAAAATGTAGTTGTAATTGAACCTTGTAGATGTCCTAATGCACCATAAATCATTAGGTGGCGACTCTTCAAAAATGCAAAACCCAGTTCCCAAAAGGAACGAGTTGTTACATACCCAAATGTCATTAACCCGATGCTCCCGACGCGAGGAGGGAAAAAAGGGGGCGCGACAAGTGCGGCCGCACATGGCTCTTCTGCGGATCGCACAAATGCAACTGCGGCCGCGTAGCTGATCTTCTGTGGCCACACAATAATTGTGCGGTCCGCACTTCCTTTGAACTTGATATGAAAACTCTCTGAACTTTTGCTCTTTATTAGCTTCTACGGCCGCACATTTCATATGCGGACCGCACTTCTCACAGTCCTCTGTTAAGTTTGTCTTCACAATCTGCGGTCCGCACTTTGAGCTTCTATGCCTGTTTTTGTCCTTGAGTTCAGATCACTCCTTATTGAGATGGATTTCATCTTAGTGTCTCATTTTTCAATATTCCTGCAAATAAGCATATTTCATCAGTTTTTGGGAACACAATTAAACGCTTTGGGTTTAAAACAAAAGATAAAAAGCGCTAATAAGTAGTCAAAATCCCTACTTATCAACGCTCCTAAGCACCGAGCCAGTGGGCCTTGGAAAGATTTTCTATACAATTGGCCTTTCCTGAAGCTATAACGTGCAACTTTTGTGCGTAACGCTCGTGATGCCTTGGGGTCTTCGGGCAACTTTCAGTGCTCGATATAGTCAATTATTTCATTTTTCCAGTCCCAGACCAAACTAGCCGAATTCACCCCATAGTAACCATCTGTATCTAGGAATGAATTCATTAGTTGTACTACTGTCCCTGATTCTGATCCCTTGATTTCTGTCAATGAGCCCAAGTTTGCCAATGCATATGCTTCCGCGTTTTTTTCCCATATGAGTAATATACCACTCCCGGAATCGTGTCAATAGAGCCTAAACCTTTACCACGTATTGTTGTATACGGTCTTCTTTGGTGTCAAAGATCCCGTAGACCTAATTTACCACCAAACGCGAATCATATCTGATTTAAATGACCTCAGAGTCAAGTCCTTGGGCCAGTTTGGGCCCTACAATCAAAGCTCCATACTCTACTTCATTGTTAGTTAAATGGCTCGTTTTGATAGCTTGCCTTAGGGTTTCCCTCGATGGCGTGATTAAGATTATTTTGAGCCCGGACCCTTTTATGTTGGAAGCTCCTTCTGTAAATAAGTTCCAAACCCCTGATATCGGTTCCAACACTATTACCGCCTCCTTGGTTGCCAGAGGCAAAAGTCCCGGACTGAAGCCGACCACGAAGTCAACCAAGACTTGTGACTTGATTGCAGTCCTTGGTTTGTATTAAATATCAAATGCACTCATTTCAACGGCCTATTTGGCCAATATGCCCGAGATCTCGAGCTTATGAAGAATATTCCGCAAAGGGAAAGTAGCCACCACAACTATCGGGTGACATTGGAAGTAGGGCCTCAGCTTTCGAGCAGCTACTATGAGAGCTAAGGCCAATTTTTCCAAATGTGGGTAGCGAGTTTCTGCTCTCATTAGAATTTGGCTAACGTAATAAATGGGAGATTGCACCTTCGTCCTATCGGACTAAAGCCGCACTTACCGCTACTTCTAAAACCACGAGCTAGACTAGCAATGTTTCACCTTCTTTTGGTTTCGAGAGCAACAGAGGGCTTGAAAAGTACTTCTTCAAGCCCTTCAAGGCTTGATGAAATTCTGATGTCCATTCAAAATTCTTCTTCTTTTTAAGAATTGCAAAGAAGCGATGACATTTTTCCGATGATCGGGAAATGAACTTGATCAGTGCTGCTAATCTCCATGTGAGCCTCTGGACTTCTTTTACGTTTGACAATTGACCCGGGATATCTTCTATGGCCTTGATTTTGTCGGGGTTTACCTCAATTCCCCCTTTTGAGACTAGGAATCATAGGAGCTTACCAGAGCTGACCCCGAACGCGCACTTCTCGGGGTTAAGTTTCATGTTATGCTCCCTCAGGATGTCTAATGTTTCTATCAAATGCTTAAGGTAGTCACCTGCATTCAAAGACTTAACGAGCATATCGTCTATATATACTTCCATAGTCTTTCCTATTTGTTTCTCAAACATCTTATTCACGAGCCTTTGATAAGTGGCTCCGGCATTTTTTAACCCGAAGGGCATCACATTGTAATAATATATACCAAAATTTGTTATAAATGAAGTCTTTTCCTGATCTTCCGAGTTCCTCTTTATTTGATTGTATCCAGAATAAGCATAGAGAAAACACATTAACTCGTGTCCGAGCGTGGAATCAATCATTTGAACGATATTTGGCAATGGGAATGAGTCTTTTGGGCATGCCTTATTAAGATCCTTATAGTCTACGCACATGAGCAACTTATTATTTTCTTAGGAACTACTACTACATTAGCTAGCCAGTCCGGATATCTTACCTCTCGGATTGAACCGATATTGAGCAAGCGGTTACCTCTTCGTTGACAAATTTATTCCTCGCTTCAGCTATATGGCGCTTTATTTGTCTTACCGGAGGTATGTCGGGATCTAAGCTTAACCTGTGCACGGCTATCTCCGTTGGGATACCTGTCATATCCTCGTGCGACCATGCAAAACAATCGACGTTAATATTAAGAAATTCAATAAAAGCAGACCTGAGCTCCGGGTGCAATCTTATTCCCAAATGGAATTTCCTTTCTATGAATTCTTCGAACAACGCAACTTGCTCTAGTTCCTCCGCCGTGGACTTTGTTGCGTCCGTCTCTTCTAGAATTTGGAAATATCTTGGCACTTGATACTGTTTTGATTCCTTTGCCCCCAGATTAACTTCCTCTAATGCGGGGACAAGTACATGTTCATGTAATTGCTATGTCACGTGCTCTTTTCCTTTGCTACTAGAGACCGAGATTGCATTCATCTCTCTTGCTACCGGTTGATCACCCCTTATCTGCTGGATCCCCTCGGGTGTCAAAAATTTCAACAATTGGTGATACGTTGAAGGCACATCTTTCATCTCATGTAACCATGGCCTTCCTAGGATAATATTATACCCCATGTCTCCGTCTACAACTTCGAAGAGAGTTGTCTTCATTACTCCTTCAGTGTTTGTGAGCAGCAATATCTCTCCTCGGGTTGTCACGCTTGCGAGGTTGAATCCAGCGAGGAGCTTTGTTGCCGGAATAATGCTTCTGGTGAGTTTGGTTTGCTCCAGTACTCTCCATTGTATGATATTAGCTGAACTTTTTGGATCCACTAGAACACGTTTAATCTTAAAATCTAATACGTTTAAAGAAATCACCAGTGCATCATTGTGTGGAAGCAACAATCCATCAGCATCTTCCTCCGTGAAAGTTATATCATCTTCCCGGAGCCTTTTACTATTAGTTATTGAAACTTTCGTCTTCTTCGCCGCTGAAAAGGTGACCCTATTGATCTCATTCCCCCTGAAGATCATATTGATTGTGTGGAGTGTGGGTTCTTCTCCTGCTTTCGAGGGTTTTGCATTGTCTCTATTCCGACCATAGTTGTTCTTGGCTATCTCACTTAAGAATTATCTGAGGTGATCATTCTTCAATAGCGTTGCCACTTCTTCCCGAAGGTGTCGGCAGTCCCCTGTTCAGTGGCCGTTTGTCCCATGGTATTCACACCATAAGTTGGGATCCCTCTGTCCAGGATCAGATCTTATTGGTCTCAGGAACCGTGCCTCTTTGATGTTTCTCATGGCTGACACCAATTCCACTATACTGACGTTGAAGTTGTATTCCGATAACCTGGGGTAAGAAAGATCCTGTGACCTTGACATTTCTTTCTCCTGCAGCGATCTGTTGTTCCTACCGCGATTGGTCCTTCTATCAACGGTGAGCTTATCTGCTATTCGGAGGTTTCTGCTACGACCTTCAGTCCGCTCGTAGGGCAAAAATCGGCCCATCGAAGTCCGTCTATCGTAGTCATCTTTTGATTTTTCTCTATCCTTCTCTCGTCCTTTGGCCGACGATGAAAAGCCAACTTGGTCATCTTTGATTCTTATCTTTGACTCATACGGATTATGGTCATCTGCCCAAGTTGTAGCCTAAAACTCAAGTAAGCTTTCCTTCAACTTCCAAGAAGCGTCTGAACTTCTCGAATTCAGTCCTTTACTGAATGATTCACCGGCTCATTCATCCAGGACAGTCGGGAGCAACGTTCTTTCCTTCTGGAAAAGGGTGACGAATTCACAAAGCAACTCGGACTCTCCATGCGCAATCCTGAATATATCGGCCTTTCGGGATTGCACTTTTCTAGCCCCGGCATGGGCCTTGATGAAGGAATCTGCGAGCATTTCAAAGGAATCTATGGAATGCTCGGGTAATAATGAATACTACGTCAGTGCTCCCCGAGTCCAGACCAATACTAGCTAGGACGACACAAGGTTTTTCCTTTGACCAATTTTCTAGACTTGAAAAGGACATCAATTATACCCAAACACTGTTCTCTTTTGAAGCAACAACGAAATTAATTAAACTCATTAGTACAATATAACGTGGATGGGTGGATGAGAATTTTGGAAGAATCAGACAACAATGATTAATTAACCATATTATTGATAGGGTTGTTTACCTGTAAAAACGGTACAATTGAATTTATACATAGTTTCAAGACAAGCAAAACTAATTTGATCTAGAAATAATAAAGCAATTGAAGAATAATATGATACTTAGCCTCATAAAGCAAGTAAAATAGCAGAAATAATGATTCCGGGAACAAGATTTCCGGGCGCAACAGTGATGAGATCAAAAGCAAGAGAGTAAATAATATTAAGCTTTGTATAGAATATAGTCATAAAATTCGTGTCATTTACAATAATAACTGACCTCTCTATTTATAGCTATGTCTTGGGAATGAGGTCCTAGGATCGTGCCCTCCTTAATGTCAATTATGAGGCCATTGATGAATGTGTAACGGTGAAAATAAATGCCAAATTCCTTCTAACAGGCTGTCGTTCTTAATACTGTTGACATCCAATTTTTTCTCTCATTTCTTCTAATTAATTTTCTTGAGCTTCTAAGTTACTAATAAACCGAATACCTTAATTTACCACCATTGTCATTAGTATTAATATTTGTATAAGTATTACTATTTTTATTAGTATTGGTATTATTATTATCATTATTATTATTGTTGTTGTTGTTGTTGTTATTATTATTATTATTATTATTATTATTATTATTATTATTGTTATTATTATTATTATTATTATTATTTCTACTACTACTACTTTTACTACTTTCACAATTATCATTATCATCATCATCGTCCTCATTATTATTATTATTATTATTATTATTATTATTATTATTATTATTATTAGTGCTACTATTAATAGTACTACCGTAACTAATATTACTATAACTTTAATTTTTTATTTTTTTTATTTTTATTAACATCTATTTAATATTACTTTATCGTATATATATAATTTATTTTTAATACAAAGAAGTTCAAAAGAATTAATTTGAAGATTGAAAAGGACCAAAATTCGGCCAAGACAAGGTTTAAATATTTTTTCTTCACTATATTAAAGCCTACCAAAATTTTCATCTCCATAGCCCATATAGTGCCAAAATTCACCATACCCAACAAGCCCATCAGCTTTTAAATTAACCCAAATGAAGAGCCCAGCAAACTCTAAACCCTACGCCTCTTTTCTCTTCTCTCTCTCTCATTCCACTTTTGTGGATTTTCAGCTTTTCCTCAGCAATGGCAGAGAATTGTCCATTCTATTTTCGTACAAGGTTTCTTACTATCTCTCTCTTTTCGAAGCAAGTTTTGTTCTCTTCCCCTAAGTGATATTCTGGTACACTTTAATCCTTTTAAGCCAGAGTGAATCTCTCCATTTCGAGAGCTTTCTAAAGCAAATCACGTGAAGGCCTCAAACGTTCGGATTCGAACGACTCTTTGACCACAAATTCAAAATCAAAATCAAGTATTCCTGCTCAAGAGCAAACCCTAGATTTTTCACTATAAATACTTGCATATCGGACCACTTCTGGAGAGTCTAGAGCCACCTAGACGAGATGCTTGAACCAACCACCTCTTAAGCACTACTCCTTTGTCACTCTCACTACTGTTATAGTCTTTCGAACACGCAAGGCTCTTTTACAAATAAAACTTTTCTTTTCTGTATCGGCAAACTTTGGCCGTAACAGAGATCTCCGAACTCATTCTGCTCGAAGTTCGGATCTATTCGTGACAAGAGAGTAGATGCTAGATTCGACGTCCTAGTTCACTGCCAACACAAGGTCGGTTTTTCATCTTTTTAATCTTTTGTATGAACAGAATATGCATTTTCATTAGCTAGAATATTAAGTAACATGTGTTTGATATTAAAATCAAGATTCCCAACAAGAAAAGTGCTAATTACATGGGGATTTTACCTGGGGATTTTATTCGCAGATAATACCTGCGGATCTTTATGCGAAATAATAAAATCCCTAAATTTAAAATATTTTACCTGCAAAAATTATTTTCCAAGGAAATTCTGTAGGTAACTTTGGCGCCATTATGCGCCAAAATATTACATGAGAAATTACCTGGGGAAACAAATCGGAAAGTACAATTTCGTAAGAAAATCCGCAGGTAAACAAATAAGGAAAATGATAAAAAAAATCCTATGTTAATCCGGAGGAATATCCCTAGGTAACTCTACATAGGAATTTAGTTGGGGATATTTTCTTGAAAATTTACCTGGGGATTTGCTTATTTGGGAAATTACCTGGAGTTATTGTTGCTACGAATTTAGCTAGGGTTTTTTTCTTGGGATTTACCTGGGGATTCTCTTAGGTGGGGAATTACTTAGGGATCTTATTGCTGCAAATTTAGTTAGGGATATTCTTTTGGGAATTTACCTGTGAATTTTCTTACTTGGAAAATTACCAAGAGATTTTGTTGTTGTGAATTTAGTTAGAACTTTTTTTTCTTGGGGATTTACTTATTTTGGTGGAATTATATGAGATTACACTGTTGTAATTCTTGCTAGAAATTTATTCTTTACAATATAGCTTGGGATTTAATTAGAAATAACATTAGCTAAGAAATTAAATAGAGATTATTTGTGTGGTTTTAAATAAAAATTATTTCTTGAGAATTTACTTGATTGTTTCATGCTACGGTTTTGAATGGGGATTTATTCTTAGGATTTAGAAAGAAATTTTATAGTTGTTGTTTTAATTGGATATATAATATTTGAGAATTTGCTTGAGGATTTTATAACTATATATTTACGTTTGAAATTATTTAAATACTTCTAAAAAATATTATGAATTTTTATGAAGTAGTTACTTTTTTAAGTTAAAAAATATGTTTTTCTAAAAGTTACAAAAACTTGATCTGTAAAAAATATCCATAGGAATCGACTTTATCTATTATATTTCGTCGATATATATGTAGGTAAATATAAAATTATTGATCCTATATAAAACTTAATGATGTATATATATTTGGTTGGACATTATAAACCATTAAGCATAACATAGTCGGTTATTACCTTTTTTAGTAAATTCAATAACAAAATAATTATCAAAAAGCAAATTATTTTTAGAATTAAGAATTTGATATGGTTAGTATAAAGGACATGATAAAACTAAGATACGACTATATTTGACATATTTCAGCTAATATCATCAGAAAATATACTTAATGTAACTAAATGATTGAGAAGTATTTAAGTTTAATTTCTAAGCAGAGAAAAATTATGTTACATTTATAAAAATGTAACTAAGTTTTATTAACTTTTTATCTTATGTATGTCATTTTTTTCACATGTATTTAATTAGATAAAATTCAATTATAGTACATATAAAATGAAATAGTTTGAGATTGTTAGTATTGAAAATCAATATCGAATGATCTTATGATTCTACTTTCTAACATCATCTCTTGATTAAATCCTACCATTATTAAAATAACTTAATCATGTGTACTTTATTAGGATTAGCGAAATAATTCTTACTAATAATCATGTACTATAATGTATTTAATTCTTTTTCATTAATGTATTTTTTATATAAAAAAGAAATTAATATGTTATTTGAGAAATATTAATGAAAATTTGAAAAATAACTAAGAATATCTTAAAATTAGAAGTAATATACGTGTAATTTGTTATTACTTGGAAAAGAGTGTTCCATTTGATTTATGGAATCCTCAAATAATGCATCCTTTTACTAAATAAAAGATAAAAACAAAAAAATAAGAGGTAAGCATTAGTAAGTAAACAACACTACATTTGGGAAGTGGAAGTGGGGACATTTTTGTCCCACATCGGCCAAGACTTGTAAGCTTTTGCATTTTATAATAGGCAGGTTGGTAAGACGAAACCGGTACTGGGCTTTGGTAGCAGTAAGCGTGTCTTGTGGTCCAGTACAATAGACTAATCGTTAGTAATGTAAAACTACTTTGATAGTAATTTTAATTTTT